CAGGGAACTCTGAGCGTGATTTTCGGGGCAACAACCGTCGTTCACCCTCAGAGATACCTCCCGCCGATATTGAAGACAATTTTCACTGTGTGCCGAGTCATTTCTTTAACTTTGTCTGAGAAAATCTCTGACACATTCTCAAAGGTCATTGTGTACTTGCCAGCTGATATATAACTGTGATACTGGCAGCAAGTTATTCTGTGTGGAGGAACTTGACCCATACGCGCTGTCCAAGACTGATTATTCGCCGAATGTTATGGCCTCTTGGGCTCATTAAGAGACAGCAGCACAAAAAGAATGCAAAAAGGAGAGAGGTCAAATGCCATAGGTTCATTTCACCCCGCCAAAAATAAGCTCACACAAACAAACAAAAACGACTGGAGAACCCAACCAAAAGTAAGATAAGCGAGGCCAACACCAGCCCAACCCAAATCAAAGGTTGTCATTTCCAGTGTTGTCCTCCTAACTTAAGTAAAAGTGTTGATTGTTTGCAGTTGTAATGCCAGGTGTGACACCAAGTGTGACACCAAGTAGGCAGGAGAAGCGGGAGCTTCCACCGGTGGCCAGAGGAACTGCTCACAAAACATCACCGACACATGCTACGCATCAAACTTTAATTAGCGTTGTCACGGTGGTGGTGGTGGAGGACTCTTGCCTGCTTTTTGGGGTCCTCCACCACCATGTTCATGTAGGAATGACCCGAACAAAAGACGGACCCTGCTGGACCAAAGGTTCCACCCTGTCCTGGCGGCGCACATCCTGCGGTTGCCACCCATACTCGTCCTGGCGGAGCACTTCCTGCAGCTGCTGCACATCCCCGTTCGATCGGCTCACGTCTTACCGCTGCCACCTGTCCCTATTTCTGGCATCCCACGCCCACGTTGAGCCAAGCTCTGTCCACGTTGAGCCAAGCCACATCCACGTTCACGTTAAAACTGAGTCACGTGTCTACGTCCACGTTCAGCCGAGTCATGTCCACGTCGAGCAGAGCCACGCCAAGTCCGAGGGTGACTTTTTGGGACTTCTGGGATCAGTCCCTTGAGGGAGGGGTACTGTCACGTGGATCTGTTTGTGACCAACAGGTGGCACTGTAGGCCTCCTATAGCGGCACACCTGTTGGTCATCATGTCATTAGGTTTCTCTGTTTAAAGGACTCCCTGTCCGACCACTCGGTGTCGGGTCATCGTCTCTGTTGCTGTTTCTGTTTCTGTTGGTTTGTGTTTTGTGTTTTTGCTTCTACCATGCGTTTTAGTTTGTTTCTTTGAGTTCTTGTTGTTTTCAGGTTTTTGTTTTGGATTTAGCTTTCTTAGTGTTTTGTTAATATGTATTTTGTCAAGTCCACCCTACTCCTCCCTCCTGCCTGCTTTTTGGGGTCCTCCACCACCACGTTCATGACAAGTGTTAAAACCTAATTCAGCAATGTGAGAGGGTTATGGACAGTGTAAATTAAGAAGGCAACAAAAAAGGTGTGATGACTTGGCCAAATTCACACTTGGCCAAGTTCAGTGTGAGGTTTGCAACATGGGTTGTAAAAGTAAAGGTCATATATTTTTGGGCTATCTCAAAGTAATCGCAACACGCTCGGACAACGTGAAATATTTATCAATATCTTGTTTACTGAAGGAAGCTATCAATTCAATGCATTCAGTCAGAGTCAGATGAATGAGGATGAGAAAAATGTGGCAAAAAATTTCACGTTGTTTCCAATTTCCTTTAATCGAATTTTTTTGGTTTGTTTCCTCCTCTATATCTATTTTCCAAAGTCCCAAAAGATGATGCATTTTACAAACATCCAAGCTCAAGTTCCTCAACTGAACATTTCACTTAGACTTCGCTTTGGCAAAGTAATTTTTGGTATACTCGGCTCACCTTGCAAGATGCATTTTGCATTTTTTCAGACAAAGCATATGAAACCTCAGATGTTATTACTTGCTTCTTTAGTTGTTTAGAAATATTAATATCAAAGTGATCTGCGATAGAAATTATAATGCTCTTTCGTACAATGATGGAGTTTATCGAGGCCAGGATGAGCCACAAAGTCCTCAGTATCTATCTCCATTTTGCAGAACAATTGGCCACTGTTTTACTGAGCCTGAGCAAATAAGTTTGATAATCAAATATTTGATCTAGAGGGCCAAAAGATAATGGCTATCACACAAGACAAAAGAGAACAGCCCAAGAGAAGAGGGCCACCGACAGACTCAAAAAACAGACAAAACAACAAAAAAATGGCACCAAGTATTCAAAGATGGCGTAAAAAAATGTATGCACGAAAAAAAAAATTATATTTCTCAGAAAGGCATGAGGCAAAGGCATCCTAACTATTGTGCAAGTATCAAAATGCACAATAGGCAGCAATTAGTTAAAGCAATATTACATCCCCAGGCCAAGTTACACCTACCCAGCCACTTGCCATTTTTTAGACCTTTCTTCTGGCCCCAGCCCCCGGTACATAATTATCTTCGGACTATGAAAGAAACATCCATCTTTTTCTCTCTTGGCATTGTTGTGACCCCCGATGACACAGATAGAGTCCACCGTGCCGCGGAGAAGCGTGTCATGCAATCAAATTCAATGCTATTCACCCAAGATGGCGAGTGAAAAAAAAACAAAAAACAAAGCAGTAGTGACGTCACGGGAAAGCTACCTATAGTTTCGCTCAGCCACGTTTGCTATTGCTATTGATTAAACATGGATCAAAATCGGATTCGTAAATTAGCCATCAAACATGAAATGACGGTGATTCCAATGTAATATTGATGGGGCATGATCTTTGTCTGACCATGTTCCTTTACCTTGTTTCACATCATCAGCTCGTAGGTAATGTACACTCTTAGAAAGGCCTTTAAAATTTTAAATTATGTACTAGTTTGGACAGAGACTTTCTGACCTTTCTGAGTTCACAGCATGTGTGTGTGGAAACTGCTGCTCTGAGCTGTACAGTGTGGGTGCACTCTTTCTTCCACCGAACCGAGTGTGTGACAAGCATGCTCTCAACTCTCTCCTGACCATCTTAGAGCCACCTCATTCCTCTCACACTTAGCCTTGAGGAGACTGAAGGCCTTTCACTTTGTTTCTCTGTGCTTCAATGTGTCCTCCAAGTATTTTTGTCACTCGAGATTTTGTCTCATCCTGTTCCGTTTTTAACTCCGAAAAACAAGCCTCCGCTCATTCGTCAATCTTCCCTTATCTGCAGCCACCGCACACGGCTCTCCTCTCTGTGAAACACAAGTAAAGCCTTCGTTTCCCATGACTTACTGCCTGCGTTACACAAACCTCTCAAATGCAGACAATATATATGTAAAAAAAAAAAAAAAAGGAATCAGATATGAGACGGTGAGTGTCGCCTATTCATATACTATAGCAAAAAGCACAATGGCCTGGTAATATGAACAAACATCTTCTGTTATGAACAAAAAAACACAAAAAAGCAAAGAGGAGCACTAATAGGGTGTAAGCCATCGGTAAGGCCTGTCATTTGCATTCTGCTGGGTGGTTATCATAGTTATTCATTTTTCATCAGAGTTCATTTTTGTTTCGTTTTGAGTTTTGTTTTACAAATTTCATTCGTTTTAATTAGTAATCAGGGCGGCTTTGTTCGTAGGACTGATCCGGATACTCGTTTTTGTTCAGTTACAGATCGTGCATTTTTGCAGAGTGCGAGAATAAACGAGTACGTTACAGATCGTCACGATCCAGACGTGTTTGGGTAGCTACTAATGCATTCACTGTTCACGCTCCATGATAGGCACACAGCGCCCACCCCTGACGAGACAGACTTGTTGCACTTTCACACACGGATAGTGACTAATGATCACTCCATACTTGCTTGGCTTGACTCCAGCTCAGGTGTTTCGAATCAGTACTCAGTTTTCCTCAGCTCGCCTCTTTTTTGGTTTGTATGATATTTCAAGTTAGTTGGTGAACTTGTTTCTTAACGTATGTGGTGCATTTGACAAGACGGAGCTGTAAATGGCTTGTGCTGCGTCGGTCACTGCCTGTATTTGTATTTATATTTCATCTGTTTGCTTATAATTTAGCTGGTGATATGAAGTCAGTTGGAAAACTGGAAAGCTCGTCGTACAGAACACGGTGCTTTTTAGAATAATACATTGGACAAGGCAGTTAGTCATCACTGGATGCTTGCATTAATCACAGATCATTAAACAAAGAAATGAATAACAAAGTCTTCAGATCAGTTACGCACACATAGCACACACATGGACAGTACATGTATAGCCGAACACAAATTGTAAAAGCCTACCTCTCTCGTACACTGAGTGATACAGAGGTACTTCAACTGACACTGAACCAAGCAGTCTCACTCACAATAGCAGTCGCAGTAGTAGCACTCACCTTACCCCCACTGAGACCAATACTGTATCTGGTGATGGAGGTCCTTCTCAACCAAAAATAAAAAAGGACTTCTGTAGTATTTCAATATTTGTCAAGATAATCCCTCCAACGCCATGTCTAAGATTTGCAAGTGCAGAATAAGTTTAGGTAGAGACCCACAAAGCTTACAATACACCATCGCTACATAACCATTTGTTACAAAGCCCACTGTGATCAGTCACCTCTTCATTGACCTCTCCTAACAGCATTCCTTCTCAACACACGAGTGGTTAGCTGAGGGTCGCTAAGGGCATACCATCTATCTCCTTTACACCAGTACTGGATATGCAGCAAAGAAGCCATTCTCTGCAAACCACCCCCAGGAAAAAAATAAAATAAAAAAAATTACAGAGTTGATTGATAAAATGATCTGCACTCATCTTGACCTTTTCTCAGCGGTGGAGTGGAGAGGTTTCAACTCTCTTGTTCCCTATTTACAGCCCAGATATAAGATCCCGTCAAGGCACTATTTTAGTGGGACTGTATTGCCTGAGTTGTATGAGGAAATAAGAGGGGAGCAGGTCCAGTCACTCGTGGGAGCTGATGGAGGTGTCATCAACCTCAGTACCGATCTCTGGATGAGCAACCGCAATGCCCATGCATACCTCTGTATAACTGGGCACTGATGTGAACGTGTGGGGGAATCATCAGTGTAAAGGAGAGCAGGGCTGCTGAATGTTGGTGTGCTGGACATTGAGCACACAGCAAACCACATTTTGAGCTGCCTGAAAGAAGAGATGAGAGAATGGGGAGGGTCTGTTAGACAGAGGGCTTTAACTGAATTTGGGCGCATCCGTTGCATGTCCCATACACTTCATTTGCTGATGATCAATGCATTGGAGCAGGACAGCTTTGTGGCATCCCTTCTGTGGAAAGCAAAGAGCATCTCTGGCTGTATTCATCACTCAAGCAAAGCCAACAACAGACTACATGAGCTGCAAACACGGTTGAACCTCCCCCACAACACACTCTCATAACAGATACAAAAAAAAAAAGATGGAACGATACGTTCTACGTGTTCCAGTAGCTGTGGGAGTAGCGCAGGGCTGTGCAGATTATGACACAGGAGTCTGGCATGGGTAGAGCTCCAACAGTCATCTACCCAAATGAACCGAGGCTGGCATCAGACATGTTCACTGTTCTGGGTCCTTTTGATGGGGTCACAAGGGCACCCTCAAAACACGGTGCCTCCATCTTTGAGGTCATCCCCCCTACTTGCTTGTGCTCCATCATCAGGTCACTGCATTTGAGTGAGCTGTGTGGAGCGAGGGAGGAATCTGAGGGGTGAATCTGAGCATGTCATGAATGGTGATCAGGATGCCACATCAGGACGGTGCGGCAAACTCCGGGCAACATTTAGCAGCGGCGGCAAGGAAACTCACAGCCAAGATGAGCAAATAACTATAATGGCATTTCCAACCTATTTTTTGCAAACTCCGCATTTCTTATCACTCTCCTTAACTCCAGATATAAGGCCATCTGTTTTCCGAGCAGTGTTAGGTGGATACACTGAAGAGGACATTATTCCATAGGCTGATGCTCTGTGACCCTGTGTATGCATCTGAATAAAACAGTAAAGCAACATCTGCCACCAGCCGCATTTCAGTCCTGTCCTTCCTGCAGAAAAAGATGCTGCCTACTCCAGTGAGGGAAAAGTTGCCATCAGGTGATGTGAAGGCCTACCTGGCAGAAGAGGACATCAGCCTTTTCTCAGGGAGTTGAGTGTGAATCGCTGTTGGTCTATATGTGCCCTGCGATTGTACCCCACCTACTACCCGAAGACAGTTGGGATAGGCTATAGCACCCCCTGTGACCCTTGTGAGGATAAAGCGGATCAGAAAATGGATGGATGCATGGATTGTTGTACAGTGCACTATTTTTATAACTGTAGATACATTTTTTCATGTATGAGCCAAAGAAGGGAAGCACTTCTTCCCAAGCATTGTGTTCTGGGCTGATTTAAATGACAAATGTGACAAATGCAGGCCATTCAAGCCAAAAGCTAAATAAAAACTCGTCACTGACAAGCAACGTCAACTGGTGCTGCTTTTTTTTATTGGCTGCTGCTCGATGACGTCTCTTCTGTGCGACACACATTTAAAGGAATTCAACTCCCAGATGACTGTTGGAATGTCCTTCTCGCTGCTAACACATATATAAACACATTTAAAATCACATTGAAAATCAACCCAAAAGGCTCATGAAGAAAAAATAATTTCTTTGGCTTTTTTTACTATAATATAGTTAGTTTTACTTAGTTTTGGTAACATAAAATGTAGTTTCAGTTTTAATTTTTGTCAGAAGATTTTCATTTGTCTTTTATTTTGTGAACAAAAATGTTTTTAAAATTGTAGTCTTAGTTATTACGTTAGTTTTCATGAACTAAAGTAACCTCGGCTTATTTCTTGACTGATTTATTTCCCTCTCAATTTTAGTTAGTTAGTTATTTCGTTAGTTATCGTGAGCTAAAATAACCTTGGTGGTCACCCACCATCGTGGGTGTGGGATGCATTGCTGACTTTCCATAAACTCTGCACGATGCAAGTATTACAGTACTGTTGTACCTTGTGTATAAGCAAGTCAATATTAGTAGTTATGACTAAAAGAGCTGTTCGATTCCGGCTGCGGCCTTCCTGTGTGGGGTTTGCATGTTCTCCCCGGGCTTGCGTGGGTTTTCTCCGGGTACTCCGGTTTCCTCCCACATTCCAAAAACATGCATGGCAGGTTAATGGAACACTCTAAATTGTCCTCGGTGTGAGTGGTTGTTGGTCTCTGTGTGCCCTGCGATTGGCTGGCAACCAGTTCAAGGTGTCCCCCGCCTACTGCCTGATGACAGCTGGTGGATGCATGGATTGTTGTACAGTGCACTATTTTTATAACTGTAGATACATTTTTTCATGTATGAGCCAAAGAAGGGAAGCACTTCTTCCCAAGCATTGTGTTCTGGGCTGATTTAAATGACAAATGTGACAAATGCAGGCCATTCAAGCCAAAAGCTAAATAAAAACTCGTCACTGACAAGCAACGTCAACTGGTGCTGCTTTTTTTTATTGGCTGCTGCTCGATGACGTCTCTTCTGTGCGACACACATTTAAAGGAATTCAACTCCCAGATGACTGTTGGAATGTCCTTCTCGCTGCTAACACATATATAAACACATTTAAAATCACATTGAAAATCAACCCAAAAGGCTCATGAAGAAAAAATAATTTCTTTGGCTTTTTTTACTATAATATAGTTAGTTTTACTTAGTTTTGGTAACATAAAATGTAGTTTCAGTTTTAATTTTTGTCAGAAGATTTTCATTTGTCTTTTATTTTGTGAACAAAAATGTTTTTAAAATTGTAGTCTTAGTTATTACGTTAGTTTTCATGAACTAAAGTAACCTCGGCTTATTTCTTGACTGATTTATTTCCCTCTCAATTTTAGTTAGTTAGTTATTTCGTTAGTTATCGTGAGCTAAAATAACCTTGGTGGTCACCCACCATCGTGGGTGTGGGATGCATTGCTGACTTTCCATAAACTCTGCACGATGCAAGTATTACAGTACTGTTGTACCTTGTGTATAAGCAAGTCAATATTAGTAGTTATGACTAAAAGAGCTGTTCGATTCCGGCTGCGGCCTTCCTGTGTGGGGTTTGCATGTTCTCCCCGGGCTTGCGTGGGTTTTCTCCGGGTACTCCGGTTTCCTCCCACATTCCAAAAACATGCATGGCAGGTTAATGGAACACTCTAAATTGTCCTCGGTGTGAGTGGTTGTTGGTCTCTGTGTGCCCTGCGATTGGCTGGCAACCAGTTCAAGGTGTCCCCCGCCTACTGCCTGATGACAGCTGGGATAGGCTCCAGCACCCCCCCGCAACCCTTGTGAGTATAAGTGGATCAGAAAATGGATGGATGGATAAACTAAAACAACTGTATTCGATGAGCGATACTCTACGGGTTGGTGCAACAAGTCCTGTGCACTGATCTACTGTTTTACAATACTTGGAATTGTTGGCATCGGGGTGGTGCATTAAGAAATCTGCAAAAACTGTGGTTGATATCAGAATAAATGTCAGTACAATATACAGTACCTTGATTGGGGCCAAGGAGAGCACTGATGATGATGCTATTGCTGTACGTGCCAGATGGTGCCCACATTTGTTATTGTTTTAAATCAAACAAGGATTTTTTGGGCTTTGACAGCGGCCTACTGAGTGTTTTACTGAGAGCAATTTGAGTTTGAAATATTTATATACTTCTTTGGCTTTAGAAATCATCACATTTGCAGAGAGGAGATAATAAATTGGTTAAACCGTCTCCGATGTTAACGCTGTCTCTTGGCTTTGGAAAAAAGGTATATGCTCGGTGGCCAATAAATTTGAAATGAATATAAAAGCGCTGCAGCCATGGCTCCAGAAAGCAAAGCAACAGACTGTTTGTCAGAAACTCAACCAACTTGGTCTATATATCTATGTATCTAAATATCTCTCTCTCTCTCTCTCTCTCAGTTGAGAGAGAGAGAGAGAGAGAGACACACACACACACACACACACACACACACACAAACCTACCACAGCTTTCTTTAGGCAGTCGGCGGGGTACACAATGAACTGTTTGCCACCTGAACAGGTTGCCAGCCAATCACAGGGCACATAGACAAAAATAACATTCACACTTCCAATCTCACCTGTGGACAATTTAAAATGTTCATTAACCCAACCATGCATGTTTTTGAAATGTGGGAGGAAACCGGATTACCCAGAGAAAAACCATACAAATACACAATTTTAATGCTTTGTTTGAGCAGAAATGTTGTATGACCGATGTGTCATGGATCTGTTTGTGACCAACGGGTGCCACTGAAGGGCTCTTCCTGCAGCGGCACACCTGTTGGTCTTTATGTCATTACAGTAATGACGATGACGAATCAGTGGAATTGACCAACTATCCCACCATTTTTTGTTTATATCTATATGTGCCCTGTGATTGGCTGACGACCATGGTGCATCCTGCTTCTTGCCTGAAGTCAGCCACAAACCTAATAAGGTAAAGTAAAGAAAATGATTGGATAAACATCAACCCATTTTCTGATCCAACAGGTCTATCCCAGCTGTATTTAGGCAGTAAGCGGGGGACACCCTGAACCGGTTGCCAGCCAATCGCAGGGCACACATAGATGAACAACCATATGGTTGGATGATGATGGGACCAATGTTTGTCTCCATTAGCGCTGTTTAAATGCTATGGCTTTTTAATCCCATTCATCCTTCAATAGTGCACGTTTTTTCCCCACTATTTTTGGAAATAAAAGCTCAGCAATGATGATAAGTGACAAACAGTGTGACCCCATGGCTCGACATTCCACTGTGTGATGTTCCAAGGGTTGACTGGATTGTGCAGCTGGGGGCCCTGTGTTAGCCCCACTGGTGGTGTTCCAGCCACGGGGTGGTGGGGTTATAAGCTCCCGGTGTTAATGAGGTATGACCGTCATCTGAACTTTTTCCTGCTGTGCCGTTTCGTTGCCTTGACCACTGTCTCCCTTGGTACCAATTGTAAAGCACAGGACATACGTTATTCCATATTTCATTGGGGAGTGGAGTCGCAATTTATTTATTGTATATTATTTTTCCCCTGCTGTCCATTTTTTGAAATGTACCTCTTTGTCTGTCTTGAAACCAAATTAAATATGCAAACATGGCCACTTTCCTTTGTGACTTCTGCTTCACAACTCTGCAGAAGCATAAAAAAAGGTCACAGTATAAAAGTATGGCTAGTCAATCTTTTGGGTAGCTCCAGCCCATTTTACCTTGAATAAAAATAAATCGAATAAAATCGAAATTCCAGATAGTCTTTATAATCCTAATGTCGAGATAATTTTTAATCTCTTTTGATCGCTTTCTTTACCAAGTCTGTTCCTCCTATTAATATAATGTTTTTATTCACCGAGTTGCCTAGGAAAGCAAATTGTGGGCTCGAGTCAAACACATACTCATGATTGAGTTAAACATCACCAGGACATAAAATACCCTTTATTAGCCCCCCACAATCAGTAGCTCTGCCATGAATGACTCCCTGGAAGACTCAAGATCTTCTTTCTCTTGGCTCAGGTTTAATCT